TTTTGCTTTAATCATTATTCTTTACCTCAGTCTTTTGATTTCTAATAGTGATGTTGCTGCCTTTTGTAACTGAAAATCAGCACTCATTTAAGTTGTGAATTATGCTCACTTTTAATTAAAAATTCTCTGCTATAGAATTAACCTTTTAGTGAATCATTTTGGGAGACTATCATCATTTTAGAACTTGAATCCTTTAGATATTTTCCACTCTTCTTGCAATAGAATCTGCATACTATTACATATTATTTTCCTTTTTGCTTACGTACTATTTTGCCCAAGGCAATAAAAGTCTAAACTTTGAACTTGTTCTTAAAAGATCACTACTTATACAGTAAAAGAAGTAACATCATTGATTATTTCAGTCAAATTACATTAATATAAAATTTCTGCTATAAGAAAAGATTTTTTCCCTATACACAATAAAATATATCATCTTAGCAAAGAAATTTTTTTCTGGAGACAGTTCTGATTTATGAGCAATTATTTAGGAAAGATAATAAATTGTTGCCTTCATTAGGTTGTGATAACCATACCAAAGTGTAATATTTTATAGATCTTGTTCTCACCGTAGCCAGAGAATCAAAGGATCAAAGCAAAATATAGGATATTATATTGAAGTGAACATATAAAATGTGAATCCAAAGTAAACTTTAATATTACAGCTTTCGATAGAAGAAAAACAGATGTACACGTGCAAGTGGACAGAAAATTCTTCAGTTTAAATACTGGCCAGTGTTAAATTACAGATGGAAAGGTTGGAATGGCTACTTTGAACCATATTACTTTTGGTCATTTAATCCTTTTTTTAGATTAGGTTAAGTGCCTCTGTGGTTATTCTCAGAGTAAAGTGTATACCTGAAGACAAATCACAGCACTTATTAAACTTTATTATAACGTGTAGCTTTTTATCTTTTTGAAGGCAAGAATAATGTCTACTTACTCACCACTGCTTTTCCAGCACCAGGCACTGTCTTTGTGAGTTAATATTATCGGTTTCATCATAGACACAAAGCTCAGAAAAGTTGTATAACTAACTTTATATAGTGTGGTTATAACCTAGAGGGTCCAGCATTTGAACCCAGGTCAACTATTATCAAGTGATTTTTCTAGTGTTAATCATTCAAGATTGTATGTTATTTGTATTGTAAAGAAACTATATTTGCACATATATTTCTACACATGAAAGACAGGCATCTACTCTGAAAAGTGGAAGGATATTTGTATAACATTTGAGCATCACTAATATACACTAGATTATAAATACTAAAAACCAAGATGCATTAACAATACCAATGTCAAACTCAACATATGTTTGATTTGTGCTGGATATCATTCCTTGGATGTCTCATTCATATCTCAGATTGTACACATTCACAATCAAAAGGTATTATTACCTCTCTTTCTTTTATCCTCATAAATTCTAGTTGTTAATACAGTTAATAATATTATCATAAATAAAAATATATTTCCCATAAATAAAATTAGAAACTTAGGAATCAGTTTTGACTGCTACTCTGTCCTAAATTTACATTATATGTTTACTACAAATAGTTCACTTAGAACAAGTTTAAGTGCTAAAATGATGGCCTTGCAACTTGAAATCAGTAGGCAAAGGCAAAGTAATAACAATAAGTAAAGAAGAAACCCTGATACCAAAAGTGAAGAAACCCTGATACCAAAAGTAGGCTTTGAAGTAAACAGAAATATTTTTGTACAAATGAAAAGTTTTAGTCTGAGAGTTCTTGATTGATGGCAACTGATTTTAAAGTATCATTTTTTAAAGTGATCATTTTTTGTTAATTATAATTCTCAAACCTTCAGATAACACAAAAACCTGTGCTTCATTTTTACTCATCCTTCAAATTCCTGATGAAATATTACTCCTTAGAGAGGGCTTCCTGATCATCCTGTCAAAGTAAGGTTCCCCATTTTCTATCACCGTAACATTTTATTTCTTCTTAGGATGGATTTCATAATTATTAAGTGAAATTCTAATATTAGAATTACTTATGTACATCTGTTTATTTTACTTTTGATTGGTAAAAGTTTTATTTAGGAATATTCACATATAACTTAAGTGTACATGTATTATAACATGTGTATGCATCTATAAATGTATATAACATGTATATGTATCTATCTGGCTTTAGAGATCAAAATAATAGCTATCTATCATCCTCAAAAATTTCTCATATTCCTTTGCAATTTCTCTCCCTTTTATAACCGTTCAAATCATTTCCACAACCAGTGCAGTGCTCTAAATCATTAATAATTTGTTAGTAATTTTCAAAATTACTACACATTTTTGCCTTCCTTCTTAACCTTAGAACTCTGAAGATATTTGTTTTTAAATACTTATTTATTCATTTACTAGAAGAACTGGGTGTAGGCCAATGATGTGGGAGTGTGGGTGAGAGGATTCACCAGACAGAGTGGGAAGTAGAACAGGTGGATCACTGAAATGTACTGCTAAAGGGAACAGCTGGAGTGATAGGAGAGATCTGCTATGTCATATGGGCTAGCTCCCTGGACAGGGACTGAATTCAGGCTGTAGTGGTGATAGCATGGAGACTTAGCCCATAGGCCAACAGGTTTTGGTCCACTGGTTTTTGAAAGTATTTTATGTTATTGAAGTGTTGGCTATGTAAATGTCTAGTATTTGTGTTTAATGTCTGACAAGCTTTACTACATGTAATTCTCTCAAATTCCCACCATTTTGTTGCCAATGACTACACAACATCCTTTTGTATGGCTATATAGTACTCCCTGTGGATAGACTAGATCTTGATCCAGTTATCCATCAGTGGACATTTGGGCTGCATTCATATCCTAGCTATTGTAAATAATGTTGTGACTACTGTGGAACATATAGGTTTTTCATGTTAATGGTTTCGTATTCTGGATTATATGCCTAATAGTGCAATTGCTGAGTCATACAAAATTTCCATTTTTAGTTTTTAAAGTATGATTTATAACTTTGTCTACTATAAATAAAGTTGTTATGAACATTCACATGAAAGATTAATTTGATTTTCTTCACTTCTTTTAAAAATATCAATGTTCAAAATAGTTCCTTACTATAGTTATATTCTGATTCAGCATTAAAAGTTTAATTTTAGAATTACACCTAAACAATAATTTTATTTTTAAGTATATGTTTTAGTGCTGGTAAAAATTATTTTAAAGGAATATAATCTTACTACTAATAAAAATATAGAAAAACTTCCTACAAAAAAAGATTTTCAGAGATAGGACTTTATTTGAATTTATTGTTAGCTTGAATGTGAAGGATTACCTTAAGTAAAAAGGTCAAGAAGTGACTTATTTTCCAAAAGTTTTACATAATCAAATTAATGTCAGCAACTTCTTTTTAGGATTTTCACTTTAGTAATTTGGAAATATAAAGTGGTTTTATAAAAATTGTTTTGATATTTCTTTATAATTAAAATGTAATTTCTGAGTTTTAAGCATGGCTACATGATTAAATTAAGCTACGTATAAAGTTAGCTAAAATATTCATAAAGTATTTATGTTCAAAATATATTATTAAAATAAAAAAATACCATTTATCTTGGATAGTTCTGAATTCCCAACAGTTGGTGAATGATTAAACTTTGAGAGTGGACTTAGTTGATAAATTATTTCCAGACTTTGAATCTATTTCATACAGCTGGAATTTAAAGCTGGAATTTAAATTATTTTGTCCTAAAAATTTAAGAGACAAAGTTAAGATTCTTCTACCCACTTCATATATTAAGACCTCCAAGTTTTTATTCAGTTGGAAATGTAGCTGACTGGAACTTGACTGGCATTAGTATACATTTAATAGATAGATAATTCTTATATTTTAGTTTCCTGGAGATTTAGGACCTCAGTTTTGAAAAACTATAAAATTAATATTAGTTATTTTTAACAAAGATTTAGAAACAATGATAAACAATAGTAGCACTAAAAAACTTTGCTGAGAAAGTTGTACCATGTAAAAATAACTTCATAACTCACATCAAGATCAACATCACATCAAGATGTTCGAGATCACTTCTAGCTAAATCAAATTACAACATTCACAAAATTCATAGAAAAGTGGGAATTAAAGGATATAGCTGTGTAAGTCTCATGACAGAGAAAGTTGTGGTTTGAAATATTAACTGTTAGGTCCCTAGAATAAATTTGTGGGTCAGCCTATATCTAACATCATGTTATTAAGTAGAAATGAATATTAATATTAACTTTTTTTAAGCCAATATTGGACCCATTACAAAGGAAACTGAAAGTACAAATGACTAACTTAACCAAGGAATGGACATTCCAGGAGAAAAGTTACAGTCATAGGTAAGTCTGTAACTTAATTTATTATATATATGAAGATATGAGGAGGCAATGCCTAATCCTTTTATCCCCAAACATCATTCAGTAATTGGGACAGATTATTAAAAAAAAAAAAAAAAAGACTAAGAAACTTTTTTCCTTCCCCTGTTCCCCTAAAAGGTTGGCATTAAAACTTTCTTTCTAGTCAATTTAGATTTGTTTCCAAATATAAGGCAGCAACATTCCAAGTTGAATATATTTGAAAAAAATTGGAATGATACTAGAGCAGGGAGCTACCCCAGCCTGGACAAGCTAAAAAAATTTCCTTTGGTGACATTATTTTATTAGTCTTGCTATTTATTAACAGAAAAACAATCCTCTATAGAACAAATTACATCTATACTGATGAATATGCTAAAAAATATCAAGTCTACAACAAGGCAATAGGAGCTACAGAAAATGATACCTGTAGCTGCTATGTAGGAGTAGACAATTGGCATGAAATTTCTATTGTTCTATTGTTGACCTAATAGGACATTTGTGAAACAGTGAGTGGTAACTAACAGTACACTCACTTTTTCACTCTTTTATCTTGCATGCAAGCCAACCTTGACAAGTGAAGGGAAATACTGGTTAATCTTCCCAGATTCATACAGTATAACAAATATAAGATTCCAAGGAGATATACTTACTTTTGGTGTTGGGCAGGAAGCTGTAGAAAGGCGTGATGTAGCCTGAGCACGAGGCGATTCTGAAGGAGTAGTGCTGAGGGAGGCTGTATCTCGTGGGAGCACCTGAACACCACGAGAAATGATAGAGTCTGGAATCTGGGAAGGTGAACAATTAAGGTTTAGTTAATTTGAGAATACAAATAAAAAAGCATGTAAAATTAATATTTATACCTAATTTTTTTTTTGCATTTCTTGATAGTCAGCTTTCATATATTTTATCTTACTTATTTGTAGATATAAAAACATCTAAAAATTTGGGATAGGATGGAAATCTTCATATTTAAATTATCTTTTTTGGCCAAATGCTGTTTCAGACCATATTTTATCTGAGAGGAATTGTGATACTATGGTTTGGAGTAGTATTTGACATTAATATACTAGCTCTGGCACTTAATAGCTATGTAATTCCTAGATATTTTACATTTCAGATTCATTCTTTAGCCTCCTTCACCCTCTGCTCCAAGCTGACCTGTAAAGAGAATAAACAAGCTATTTTGTGCTTTCTTGTTTCCTACTGGATTCAGAAAATAAAAGGCAAATTTTGGTTTTTAGATCCATAATTTACTTTTTGCCAAATAGCAAAAGCTGGCTAAGATCACAAGTTATATCAGCTAATCCTTACAGTCCCTTTCTGATTCTAATAGACTTCTTCATCTCACTTCACCATTAGAACTAACAATACTAAAGATTTCCACTATAATTAACTCCACAGCATTGTATTACATGTTGTAGCTTTCCATAAATTCTGCTCAAATCTTTGTAAATACCATAGTTCCTTATTAAACTCTAGCATTTAAGAATTCTTTGACTTTTTCTGGGATGCTGGTGGATATAGTTTTTGAATTGCCATTTCATTTATTTAAAAATGAGGACAATGATAGAGTTTTACCTCACTGGCTAAATATGATAATGTTTATAAGTTATCTAGCATTTCCAAGTTTAAATAAAAATAAATATTGACTGTTATTATTATAGCATGGTAAAGAATGAGATGACTGAATAAATATCATGATTAAAAATATACTAACATAAAGGCAATATTATTTATTTTTAAAATCATTAATACTCATGTTGATAACAAATTTATTATTTTGGGCTAGGCATAGTATAGTAAATGTTCTGAGATATTACTAATGGTAAAGGTCTTATAACCTCAAAATGAGAACCTGACCATTTTCAAGTTTTGTACATGAGAGAAATACAGAGCATGAAAGAATTAGAAATTAACATTGATCTGTGTTTACTTTTCATATTAAAAGAAGGAAACATCAGTTCGACTTTATGATTAGAAAGGTGTCTGATGTCATGCATCATCTTTTTCTCACAAAGGACACACTATTGTTTCTATGAAATAATAGTGTAAAGACAACATACTTAATCCTGATGGCATTTCTACCATTTCAGGGGTTGACAATTTAAGTGATTTATGAAGAATATCTCCATCAATAGGATAAAAGTAATGGGGATTCTGAAAAGAAAGTGGCTCTAATTGCTAGTAATTTGACTACTGAACTGTGATAGAAATGAAAGTAGTGTAATTTTGAAGATCTATGTGCTGGCACTTAGGTCTAATAAAAAAGGTCATATACTAGAATGAATGATGGTCAAACATCTCTAATGTACCTCACATGACCCCATATTTCACTTGTTCACAGTACTAAAAAGGATGAGATTGAAATAAAAATAGATACACAGACTAATGGAATAGAATTGACTATTCAGAAATAAACCCAGTTATATGGACAGTTAATTTAAAACAAAGGAGTCAAGACCATAGAATGGAGAGTCTTTTCAACAAATGATTTTGGGAAAACTGCACAGTCACATGCAAAAGAATGAGATTATATCGCTATTTTACTTCATACACAAAAGTTAAAGGCTTAAAGGCTTAGATTAAAGCCTTAGGTGAGAGGCATTAACCCATAAAGTACACAAAAGAAAACAGGATAAATACTGTGTTTCAGTGATGTATTCAGAGATTTGACTACAAAGAAAAGGAAAATAAAAATAAATAAGACTGTATGAAACTAAAAAGCTTCTGCACAATAAAATAAACTATCAATAAAATTAAAAGATACCCTGTCAAATGCAAGAAAATATTTGTATATTATGTATCTGTAATGGGACTAATGCTCAAGATTTATATAGAATTCACTATTTTAAACTCAACAAAGAAACTACCCAATAAAAAATGGGCAGAAGAGCTATAGGTTCACTTCTCTGAAGAAGACATTTAGATGACCAAAAGACATGTGGAAAAAAAAAAAGCTCACCACTTATGATCAGGGAAATACAAATCAAAACCTTGATATAACCCAAGTTACATTGTGAGAATGGCTCCTATCAAAAAGAACAGGAAGAACAAGTATTGGTGAGGATGGGGAGTAAAGAAACTTTCACAAACTGTTGATGAGAGTATAGAATGGACCAGCCCCTATGAAAACAGCATGGAGCTACCAAAGAATCCAGCTATTCCTTTTTTAGGTTATCAAACTGAAGAATAAAAAACACTAATTTGAAGGGATATATGCTCTCCTATGTACTTTGCAGCACTATTTTACAATAGGCAAGGAAGGAAAACATTCCATGTGCCTAACAACAGATTGGCAGATTAAGATGTGGTATATATACACAGTGAAATACTATTCAGCTATTAAGAAGATGAAATCTAGCCATTTGGAGCAATACTTAACTGGTAGGGGTTATGCAAACAAATAATAAATCAGAAAGACAAATATAAGATGATCTCTTCCATATGAAACAAAGGAACAAACTAAACCATAACAAACATTACAGATCTGACTGTACAATTGAGACTACCAGAAAGGGTTGAGAGTGGGGAACAAATGGTTGAGGGAGCCCACTGGAGTATGGTGGAGATTTATGGATGCATATGTGGTTGACATGGAGTGGTAGCAAACATATAAACAGGCACAAACATGTATCTTTAAAGTATACACAGTACACCACACAGTAAAAAATGTGATCATAAAAAAAAAACACTACAATTTAAACAATGGTTAGAAAGAGTCAAAAGAATTGAACATATTTTGTTCAATAAAGCTATATAGTTAACATGAAAAGCAATATGAGTAGTTGTTCTGCATCACTAGTCATTGGGGAAATGCAAACAAAAATCATAATGAGATACCAATTCAAAGCCATTTATAGGTCATAATTTTTTTTTAATAAGGAAAATAACATGTAGCATGTAGGGAAACTGGAACCTTCATACACTGCTGTTGGGTTTATAAAATGGGACAGCTGTGTGTAAAAGTTTCATCATTCCTGAAGAGTCAAACACAGACTTGTTACAAACACAGAATTCCTTTCTGCCTAAAGGAATTGGAGTTTTTGTTTGAACAAAAAGTTGCAGAAGGCTGTTCACAGAATCATATTTTAAAAACCAAAAGTGAAAACAACCAAAATGAGTATTACCTGATCAACAGATAAAAACATATGGTATATTTAAATAATGGAATAATATTGTACAGCTATCAAACACTGATACAGGCTTTACCATGTATCATATACCATGTTTTCAGACTTTAAAAACATATTAAGTGAAATAAACTAAACACAATTAGCTACATTTTGTATCACTTCATTTACATATAATTTCCATTGTCGGTAAATCCACAGAAACACAAAACAAAATAGTAGTAGCTAGAGAATGTGAGAAAGAGAGAGTATAGGGAATGATTTCCTTAATGGGAATGGTGGTTTTGGGGGCTGATAACATATTTTTGAATAAGATACAGGTGATGGCTGCACAATATTGTGAATGAACTAAAAGCCACTGAATTATCACTAAAATGGTTAAATGTTGAGGGCCCTCCCTGGTGGCGCAACAGGTTTGGATGCAGTACTGCAAGCTCACTGTAGCTGCTGCAGTGTAAGTTTTATCTGGGGCCCCAGAGGTGACCCACAGGGCGGGGCAGACCTCTCTTGATCTGCCTGCTGCTCCCCTCAGCAGTGTACTTTGTTGATCTGCCTGTTCTGCTCCCCACTCTGTCTCTGGTGAATCTTCTCACCGCCCCTGCACCTCTGGCCTGTACCCCAGTTCTGTATACATAAATGAATCTTTTTTTTTTTAAGATTTATTTATTTCCTCATATAGAACTGGGGTACAGGTCAGAGATGTGGTAGGTGAGAGGCTTCACCAGAGACAGAGCGGGGAGCAGAACAGGCAGATCAACGAAGTACACTGCTGAGGGGAGCAGAGGACGGGCCAGGAGAGGTCTGTCGTGCCATGTGGTCACCTCCGGGACAGGCGGGAATCGAACTCATGCGGAAGTGGCTTAAGCTTCTCAGTGCTGTGCTTTAACCCGCTGTGCCACCAGGGAGGGCCCACATAAATGAATATTAAAAAAAAAAAGTTTAATAAAAAGGTTAAATGTTGAATTTTGTTATATGAATTTTACATGATTTAAAATATATAGTACAAACTCTAATATATACCAAGTGTACATGTTTGTTTATGTTTTTTACTCTTATATTTACTCATAGGTATGTGTTAATTCTTGCACCAAAAATGTACTACTTTAATTTTATTATATCTTAATATTTATATAGCAGGTCTTCCACTTAGTTCAATTTCTTAAGATTATCGTGGTTACTTCTGACTCACCATTGTATAAACATTTTAGAAACAGTTTTTCAAGTTTACCTTGCCATTTATAAAATTAAAACACACACACCATACACCACTTATAAACTACTAGGATTTTTATTTCCTATGTACATGAAAGCATTGAAAAGTTTTGAAGGATATTCCCCTGATGAAAAGAAACAGTATGATGCTAAATGAGAATGATAGGGTGGCTCAAATGGATGTTAATACGATGCTTCCTTTTAATTTAATTTAATTTGAAGAGAGGAATAAATCAACTACTAATTGCAGAATTAAAAAAATTCAGAAATTAAAATCATGGAGGGGCTCTTTCAAAAAGTTAAGGAGTGATCAATTCTCAACAACTACGGAGAGGTAAAGGAATAAGTACATTGTCTTACATGTAGTGCATACTAAATAATTGCTTCCTCAATATTAAAGAAGTAGAAGTTGTCACTATCAGAATTACATGCTGTTTTAGAAA